TACTAATATAAACTTTATCGCGAGAATGAAGCCAGCATAAATATCGACGGACCTACCCCAAGCGATTGCTAGTAGCTTCTCAGTGAGAACTAAAACTGGCCGAACAGCGAGAACGAAGTTATCATAATTTCAATGAAATTTTCTGCACCCCCGCGCGAAATACTTTCAGATATACATCTATGAAGGAAGCGTGTTTGGTTATTCAATCCTTTTACCACCGTAAGAACATTCTACAACGGCCCGGTAATAATTTCTACCTGCACACTTTCACTTCACGGCGTCCACCGCTTAACTAGACTGATTTTGCCGCGTGACGCCGCGATAAATACAGTATACAAGCGCGAGAGATAATTTTCCCTCCGCCTTTTTGCCTGGTCGAGTCGGTCGGAAGGTAATCTCGACTCCTCGAATTCCCATTCCATTACGCGAAGTCGTAGCGAATTTTTCTATCGTGGCTATCCTTATCTCGGAAGGGAGTCGGAGAAAAAGAGAATAAAAATAAACCTTCATTTTTTCCTCGACAAAGTTGCAACCTTCATCCGTTACATCTTAATCGAAAAGCGGCAATGAACAAAATTAGAACGCCGATGCCGTTCAATGCCGGCGAATCAATCGGTATTCCTTGTTGCGCGCAGGGGAATTCATTCGAAGCTTACGGTCGAAACGAATTTCGTTTCGTTCGCGGCAGGTGTGACTCAAAGCGAAGATCGAGGCTCGCGAGCGCACACTAACGACTCAGAAAATTAACGGTTAAAATCCGATGACCCGAATGCTGTTGCCATCGTTACACGTTTACTCGCGAATCCTAGGGACTTTCTCTGTGAGTCATCTCTCCCAGCGATGACTTACGCCGCAACGACCAAGTTTCTGTTCCGCGTGTCCCGCCAACTGTCCGGCAAAAAAGTGACGTCAGCTTCCACGAATCGGAGAACCGCACTACGCGACGCATTCTGAGCGTAGTCGCGACCCGGCTGCAGGTTATATAGTCTAGCAAGCTTCGATCACACTTGTTGAGGGGAAGCCCTCGACCAGCGGCACTACCGTCCACCTCCTCCTACTCCTCCTCCTCCTCCTCCTATCCGCCTCACATTCTCTCCCTCTCTCTCTCTC